TAGTGTACTCCAACAATAAACATAGTTAACCCCAAGTCTAACATAGTTTACTCCTACAATAAACATAGTTAACCCCAAGTCTAACGTAGTGTACTCCAACAATAAACATAGTTAACCCCAAGTCTAAACGTAGTCTACTCCAACAATAAACATAGTTTACCCAAAGTCTAACGTAGTCTACTCCAACAATAAACATAGTTAACCCCAAGTGTAAACGTAGTGTGCTCCAACAATAAACATAGTTTACCCCAAGTGTAAACGTAGTGTGCTCCAACAATAAACATAGTTTGCCCCAAGTGTAAACGTAGTGTGCTCCAACAATAAACATAGTTAACCCCAAGTCTAAACGTAGTCTACTTTAACAATAAACATAGTTTACTCCAAGTCTAAACGTAGTCTACTCCAACAATAAACATAGTTTACCCAAAGTCTAACGTAGTCTACTCCAACAATAAACATAGTTAACCCCATGTCTAACGTAGTGTACTACAACAATAAACATAGTTAACCCCAAGTCTAAACATAGTGTACTCCAACAATAAACATAGTTAACCCCAAGTCTAACGTAGTGTACTTCAACAATAAACATAGTTAACCCCAAGTCTAACGTAGTCTACTCCAACAATAAACATAGTTAACCCCAAGTCTAACGTAGTCTATTCCTACAATAAACATAGTTTACCCCAAGTGTAAACATAGTCTACTCCACAATAAACATAGTTAACCCCAAGTCTAAACGTAGTGTACTCCAACAATAAACATAAGCAACCCCAAGTCTAAACATAGTCTACTCAAACAATAAACATAGTTAACCCCAAGTCTAAACATAGTCTACTCAAACAATAAACATAGTTAACACCAAATCTAAACATAGTCTACTACAGAATAAAACATAGTTAACTCCAAGTCTAAGCGTAGTTTACTCCAACAATAAACATAGTTAACCCCAAGTCTAAACGTAGTCTACTCCAACAATTAGCATAGTTAACCCCAAGTCTAAACATAGTGTACTCCAACAATAAACATAGGTAACCCGAAGTCTAAACATTGTCTACTCCACAATAAAACATAGTTAACCCCAAGTCTAACGTATTGTACTCCAACAATAAACATAGTTAACCCGAAGTCTAAACATTGTCTACTCCACAATAAAACATAGTTAACCCCAAGTCGAAACATAGTGTACTCCAACAATAAACATAGTTAACCCCAAGTCTAAACGTAGTCTACTCCAACAATAAACATAGTTAACCACTAGTATTATGTGTATGCATGTGTGTTTATATATTGTACATATTCATGTATGTACTGGTCAGGATACATCATGGACCTTATGTTTATACAATTAAATGGTTATTATCGAACATGTATACAGTGCAGTAACATGTATTAGTGTCGACAATGTAGATATATTAGTGCAAAATGGGGACCAAATGACCATGTACACATTGTGATATGTGTGTGTGTTAGTGAACAGTGATACATGTACTATGGTAGGCTTGAAAGTTTGAACTATACTTCTTAGATATATATAGTGCATAGCATCGAGGGGTAGGTGAATGAGGAAATGTTTATACATATGCAGAATATGATGGTTGTATAATGTATACGTAACCTGTGCATGTGCAGATGATGAAGATATCTCGTGCTAGCATGTATGTTCTGTAAGTTTGAGTGTGTGAGTGTGTGTGTGTGTGTGTGTGTGTTTGTGTGTATTCATGATTATAGGTTTTAAGAAAAAATCGTCGAAAAAAAAAACAATTACAAAAAAAAAAAAAAAAAAAATCTTCCTTGTGTACACGACAGAAGAAACACTTCCCTTTGTGTAGACACATTTTCTTATTACACAGACACAGTCCTATGGTGTAGATATTAAACACGGAAGTAGAAACCTTGCTGAGTGGTGGTGACGCATATCACTCGGGGTACAATCGTCACTCGGTAGGGGATACTGTCCATTGATCAGTTTGGAGGGTGTATACAGGTAAGCTGTGTGCTGATTACAAACCTATTGGTAAGGCTATTCTACAAGTGTGTTACCATGATTGTAAAGGGTAAATGATGTATAATTCGGCTCTAAATACACGTACATTTGTTTAGCGTACCGTATCAGTAAAGAGGGACAATGTAATAACCCGGATGTTTAAAGAAGATGGTTCATTCGCTCTCACAATGACATTTGTATTGCGTTCTCGACACTGTCACAGTGTGTTGTTATCGTTGTGTAAAACGTAAGGTTTAATGATCCCTGTACCATTGTCAAACAAATAACTTTACATTCGATATGACTAAAGTTTTAATAAATTATTTCAGAAAGGCAACCATACAGTTCGGTACTTTTATGGAAAGAAAAAAACAGATAAAAAGATATATAATACAAATGAAATAATCTAAAATATCAACAACAATGTTTTGAGTTAAATCAGTGTGACTTTGTTAGATCAGGATTCGAACCATGGACCTCAGATAATTTTACTGTGGGTCTAACTATCTGACCTACCTGGTCAGCACTCCGCCCCAGTCTCTCTAAAGTCATAGCAAACACGTACAAAGGGAGGTAACTTGGTGTACAAAAAAATCTACATTTTCTCCAGTGCCACAGGGACCTTGAAGGTAACTCATTCGGGCACATGTCAGAGCAGCAATGGTGTGTGCTCACCATTTACCTCATAATCAAGACTCATAGAAGCAGTTTGATAATCATTTATCAGAACAATCTAAAGTAGGATTTTTTTCGAGAAACTGTTGAAAATATTGTTAGTTAAGGTCCGAGATTGAATTTGATCATAGGGTATTTGTGCACACGGATAGCCTTGTATATTACATATAATGAAATAATTTCCAAAAACTCATGTAGCATCCATATAACGATTAATACTGAAAACAAAATAGTGTTTCTATCTAAATGACAACTAAACATAAAACCAACTGTACAAAGCGGATTGTGGCTCTCTCAGTCGGGGGTCTCAATCGCCTCGTGTCATCAGCCTTGTCAGCTTAATCATTAGTTTTGATATTTCCAACGGAAATACATGTCATCATTCTGGACGAGTGAGCCGTTACCTTATAGTTGTACGCTATCAGTTTTCAAACAAAAGCATCTCTATTTACAGCAAGCAGTTTTCATCAACGATAACAATTAACTGATTGTTTTATTAAATCATAAAAAGGCACTCATTAAATGTAGACATGATTTATTCCCGTTTTATTTCAATTTGTATTTGATGTGCTGTTCCAGACATCATATTCATACAAATAATTGTAACTAAAACCCTACTTTAAGATTATCGTGAACTTTCAGTTGCCAAATCCTACAAAGCAGTTTAAAATTACGTTCATTATATCACGTGCATACGATAAAAATGACCTCGAGTTGAAAAGACTTAGGGAATATTTTGTATATTGTCGAGCTAAACATATATAAATACATGTATACGATATTTGTTAACTCAAGAACGCAAATCTGTTTGTTTCTCTCATTCTTCTGTGTATATGACAAAACTGTCAAGGGTAAGTAACGGTGTAAGAAATGTCTGTCTTTACTCTCAATGTCACTGCGTAAAATGGGTTAACAAAGACGTGACGTCATGAAATCAGAACAATTCGATGTCACGATGCTGAGATTGCAATGGGGTTTTATGGTTTCTGAGCTAAATCTAGTGTTTGGAATGAGAGAGAAAAAATACTGCCCAGGCTTGTACATGTAAGATAGGGAAGTTTTATCCTCGGGATTCTCAAACTGGTACATAGTCCTTAATTCCTTCCTCGGAAATTTCAAATTTTAAGAGGTTTGCACCAATTTGAAAATCCCGTGGTTGGAATTTACTTTTCCTACATCCCTGGATATTAAAGAGTCAAACGATCGGGTAGTGAATTACCACAGCTGATTCTATCCCCACCGACTTCCACAATAATACAGGTACAAACAAAACTCAATCAATCTCAAACTGCAAATGAACATCAGCCAGTGTTTGTAATCATTTTTCTCTTCTTCCTTAGTATTGTTTATTTGAACAGGAACCATGAAACTGCTTCTGTCCATCCTTGTCACTTTTGCCTGTCTGTACTTCCGGTGTGGAGCGGAAATGATGATGGTGGAGGAGGAAATAAGCATACAACAAGTAATACGGAAGTACATACCGACATACACGGGGTCAAAGGTGATGGGGTCACGGTCTGGTGATCCGTTCGGGAATGCTACGTCATGCGGTACGAAAATTCATTAATCATTTATAAAGTATCTTATTAGTTTAATATTGAATAGGAAATGAGGTTCCTTTTCTAGAAAGTTTTTTTTTCGATTCCTGGGCAAGGTCCAATTAGCATAGGCAGACTTTGCGAAACATAACCAATGTGTTGAAATTAACTTTTCACAATAAAATATCGATATAATACCGATATAATATCGCTGGTTTATGTACATGAAACGCTCCGTTGTTTTAATGATAGCTTAGAATTAACTTCCCTAGTGTTATATACAGTAAAAAATTGATACAATGTACAAAAGCCTTGGGCATGGTTTTTCAGTGAGATAGCACTATAAAAACGGCATCAGATCCGCTCTATCACAAGAAGGCAAATACACCAACATACCCTGTTCCCGGCACATATACACACATACAAAACACACATGGAGGCACGTCCTTAAATGACCTCAGCTGTTAATAGGACGTAAAACAATATAAAACAAAACAAAACCCCTTGATTTTATATAATAAAACCCCGACATAATCTCACTCGTCTTAATATTTACTGTAAAGCTCGTTATAATGCCGACAGTTTTATACCCTATAAAACGTCGATGTGACGCCTGTCATTGATATTGTTTAGCACTTATGAATACAAGTCACACTCAGGGACCAGAAGATTGTTCGTGGTGAAGTTTGTTTAACGTCTATTTATAGTTTTGTAAACCCTTAACCAGATCAAAATGCCAGTAGATAGTGTACATAGCTATAGGGAAGATAAGAAACAACACACAGGTTGACAGGTAACATGTACCTGTATGAAAATGTTGAAAGATGGCCACTCCGTTCTTATGTCACTAACATAAAAAACTTCTTGTTGAAATCAAATCGAAAAAATAAGTACTCGATTATAGTGATGTGTTCAACAAATTATGATCATTTACCTGTAAAATTACTGAACACATATGTAAACTCCTTCACCTGTAACCCCTGCAGGTCCGGGATCGAGAAAAGAATAATATACCTGCTGTTACGGTACCCGATGCATGCATCGTAAGAGGTGACTAATGTGTGGACCCCTGCAAAAATCGGGGATTTGATTTTGTGCACTTTCTTATGATACGAAAGCGATCAAAATAAATCTGTGGCGTCAATTGCAGTATTTGGTTCTTTATATTTCTCTCAACTTCTAACTACATTTTATTTTCTTCCTGGGCAATACCTCACTTTTGGCTTTAACGCGGAATGTTCGCTCAGGTGAGGAAGGCAAGGGGTTCTGTCCCCAGGCCAGAACATACCAAAGTCCTTAAAAATGGTAGTTGTTATTCCCTGCTTAACTTTCAACATTTAGGGAAATGTATAATGTGAGATATTTCAGTGAGATAGCAATATAATGCCGGCATCAAATCCCCACTATCACAAGGGGGCAAATACGCCAACATACCCTGCCTCCAGCACACACACATGTACACACATGTACGCATACACAATACACATGCCTGAAATTACCTTAGCTGTTAATAGGAACTTAAACAAAATATACCAAACATTAACATGGAAAATTACTGAACACGTAGTGTAAAACAATTGTCCTTTACCTGTAAAATTACTGAACGCCTGATGTTAAATATAGGCATTTACCTGTAAAGTTACTGAACTGGTGATTTAACATATTTTTCTTCATTTTTAAAATTATTGAACACGTCGAGACTTTTGTTTGTACCAGTTTAGAAAAAGTCTCATCTAGTAATCGAACGGAATTTAATATTCTTGTCTGTATGAAAGTTAATCGTTTTCAAATATTCTTACATGAACTTCTCTTTTATTGATGTATGTTTTGGCTACAATACTGCATGTTTATAGTAAGGGCAAAATCAAATTGTCTTTCATATAAAATATAAAACAATAGACGATCGGTCAAGTCCATTAGATGTTTGTATTGACCAAATATACGATGTTGCTCGATTTAGTCTCGTTAACCAACTGTTAGTTCAATCTTTGAAACATTGGATTAAGTAATTGTCATTCCATTTTTCAAGTAACGAAACATGTCATTCTTTTCAGGACCACCACAGGCGAAGATCGTTATGACGTGGAAACCAACAACGGTTGTCATTGGAGAATCGCTGAGTGTCAACATACAGATGATAGCCCGTGAGTTAGCTTGAGTTAAAGTGTCTGAATGACAGCCCGTGAATTATTTTGAGTTAAGGTTTCTAGATAACAGCCCGTGAGTTATTTTGAGTAAAAGTTTCTGGATGACAGCCCGTGAATTAGTTTTAGTTAAGGTTTCTAGATGACAGCCCGTGAGTTAGTTGGACTTAAGGTTTCTAGATTGCAGCCCGTGAGTTAGTTTGAATTTGAGTTAAAGTTTCTAGATGAAAGCCTGTGAGTTAGTTCGAGTTAAGGTTTCTGGATGACAGCCCGTGAGTTAGTTGGACTTAAGGTTTCTAGATGACAGCCCATGAGTTAGTTGGACTTAATGTTTCTAGATGACAGCCCGTGAGTTAGTTTGAGTTTAGGTCACTAGATGACAGCCCGAGCGTTACTTTGGGTTTACATCGTTTTCGTTTATTGCGATTCAAACGGTTGAACCGGCTGGACCAGAGTTGTTCATTTATGAAATAAAGTCGGACCAAGTAAACTGATGCTGCTTTTAGGCGTGCCTTGGTAAAGCCTTGTAAGGCTTGCATACACATTTGCAGGTCCGCCAGGATTTTTAACCGAAATTTTTAAAATTAGAAACGGACGTATCTAATGTTCCGCATAAACAAACAGGCCCTGAATTACAGCCTGTACGTTTTTTTGTGTTTATGTCTTTAGATTACAGCCTGTGAGTTATTTTGTGCTTTGGTCTCTAGATTACAGCCCGTGAGTTATTTTGAGTTAAGGTTTCCAGATTACAGCCTGTACGTTATTTTTAGTTAAGGTCTCTTGATTATAGCCTGTACGTTATTTTTAGTTTAGGTCTCTAGATTAAAGCCTGTACGTTATTTTGTGTTTAGGTCTCTAAATTACAGCCTGTACGTTACTTTGAGTTAGGGTCTCTAGATTACTGCCCGTGAGTTATTATGAGTTCAGGTTTCCAGATTACAGCCTGTACGTTATTTTTAGTTTGGGTCTCTAGATTACAGCCTGTACGTTAGTTTGTGTTTAGGTCCCTAAATTACAGCCTGTACGTTACTTTGAGTTAGGGTCTCTAGATTACAGCCCGTGAGTTATTTTGAGTGAAGGTTATCATATTACAGCGTGTACGTTACTTTGAGTTAGGGTCTCTAGATTACAGCCCGTGAGTTATTTTGAGTGAAGGTTATCATATTACAGCGTGTACGTTACTTTGAGTTAGGGTCTCTAGATTACAGCCCGTGAGTTATTTTGAGTGAAGGTTATCATATTACAGCGTGTACGTTACTTTGAGTTAGGGTCTCTAGATTACAGCCTGTACGTTATTTTAAGTTAGGGTCTATAGATTACAGCCTGTACGTTATTTTGTGTTTATGTCTCTAGATTATAGCCTGTACGTTATTTTGTGTTTAGGTCTCTAAATTACAGCTTGTACGTTACTTTGAGTTAGGGTCTGTAGATTACAGCCTGTGCGTTATTTTGTGTTTAGGTCTCTAGATTATAGCATGTACGTTATTTTGTGTTAGGGTCTCTAGATTACAGCCTGTACGTTATTTTGTGTTTAGGTCTCTAGATTAGAGCCTGTGCATTATTTTGTGTTTAGGTCTCTAAATTATAGCCTGTACGTTATTTTGAGTTAGGGTCTCTTGATTACAGCCTGTACGTTATTTTGTGTTTAGGTCTCTAGATTATAGCCTGTACGTTATTTTGTGTTAGGGTCTATAGATTACAGCCTGTACGTTATTTTGTGTTTAGGTCTCTAGATTACAGCCCGTGAGTTATTCTGTGTTTTGGTCTCAAGATGGCAACCCGTGAATTATTTTAAGTTTAGGTCTCTAGATTATAGCCTGTACGTTATTTTGAGTTAGGGTCTCTAGATTATAGCCTGTACGTTATTTTGAGTTAAGCTCTCTAGATTACAGCCAGTGGGCTATTATGTGTTTAGGTCTCAATATGACAACCCGTAAGTTATTTCGTACTTCGGTGTCTCAAAATGATAGCCCGTGTGTAACTTTCGGGTCTTTATGTGACATATTTGAAATCCAAGTGTTTCACTCTAAATACATACATCTTCTCTTTACACCAGGAATACGTCACGATGAAGTTGAGGTCTCTGTCTGCGACACCTTGCAGTTTATACTACACATGTTCAGTGTTAAACTGCTCTGATCTCTTCATTTAGAGTTGCAAGAAATAGCGCGATATCAAACATTTAATTTTCACCGGCTTTAAAGTCGGGTCTCATCCTCTGTTATCTTCAAAATGACAGATATCAGTCAGCGATTGGGCAGTTATTACATCCAATCAAATAGCTCTCCGCGAACATTCGATTTTGTCAAGAAAACATATGTGTTAACATTATATTTAGATAGTTTTTATGACAGATAGTTGTGCTAAGTAAGCAGGTTTTTATAGACGTTTTATTTCATACTGGTATTTTATTGTTTTGTTACTTGCAGCTGCTGATTTGGTTAACGGAACTGGTACAGCAAATATTTACATTGCGGGAGAATCTACGCCATTTGCTGGGTTTTCATTTGACGGCGGATGTGAAACCCTCAAAAAACAAGGCATAACTGGATTGACCTGTCCTATCAAAAAGAACGGTAACGCACGCCAACCCCCAACCCTTCTCCCGCCGGCTTGAAATTTGAAGGTTCCAATCATAAATTAAGATGGTGAACGAGTTCCCTGAAAAATAGATAATGAAAGCTATTAAAAGTAGTTCATATTTGAACACTCTTAGAAATAAAGAATATAGTTTATATACATATATGGACAAGGAAGAAGTTCAAACGGTACTAGTGAAGACAACATGAGAAAGACAAGATTTCTAAGTAATTCCCTCGTTTCTCTAGACACAGAAAACCACAGAACGCTTACACTTCTTTAAAAGAAAATAGAAATATAATAAGATATAATTTTTATTCAAAATCAATAAAAATAAGCCGGGGGAAAAATTTACAGATACACTGAACGTATCACTCTTGCGTCCATACATCCGGACGTCCGTTCGATTTACATCGTATTGTTGTTTAATTGATTACACAAAGACATTTGATTCTATGAATCCTCAAAACCCAGGATATACATGTATATACCTTTAAATAATTTAAAACAAAATGCACCGTAGACGATTTGTAATGCGACATATGTCAACAAACGCCCGGCATTCCAGATTTATAAAGTAAAACGTCTATATATATATTACAGATCAGATCAAGATGCACTATACTGTGCCGGAATCTGCCACCCAGAAATTGATGACGGTAAGTTTACGTTTAGGTTGATTACGAGAGGTTAACATTTAGGTTGACTACGGTAAGTTTACCGGTTAAGGTTGATAACGGTAAGTTTACGTTTAGGTTGACTACGGTAAGTTTATTGGTGTAGGTTGATTACGGTAAGTTTACGTTTAGGTTGACAACGGTAAGTTTACGTTTAGGTTGACTACGGTAAGTTTACCGGTTTAGGTTGATTCCGGTAAGTTTACCGGTTTAGGTTGATAACAGTAAGTTTACGTTTAGGTTGACTACGGTAAGTTTACGTTTACGTTGATTACGGTAAGTTTACGTTTAGGTTGACTACGGTAAGTTAACGTTTAGGTTGCCTACGGTAAGTTTACCGGTTTATGTTGAATACGGTAAGTTAGCCGGTTTACGTTGATTACGGTAAATTTACGCATATGTTGATAAGGGTAAGTTTACCGGTTTAGGTTGATTACGGTAAGTTTACGTTTCGGTTGACTACGGTAAGTTTAACGGTTTAGGTTGATTACGATAAGTTTACTTTTAGGTTGATTACGAGAGGTTAACATTTAGGTTGACTAGGGTAAGTTTACCGGTTTAGGTTGACTAGGGTAAGTTTACCGGTTTAGGTTGACTAGGGTAAGTTTATTGGTTAATGTTGATTACGGTAAGTTTACGTTTAGGTTGACTACGGTAAGTTTACGTTTAGGTTGATTACAGTAAGTTTACCGGTTTAGGTTGATTACAATAAGTTTACCGGCTTAGGTTGATAACGGTAAGTTTACGTTTAGGTTGACTACGGTAAGTTTATTGGTGTAGGTTGATTACGGTAAGTTTACGTTTAGGTTGACAACGGTAAGTTTACGTTTAGGTTGACTACGGTAAGTTTACCGGTTTATGTTGAATACGGTAAGTTAACCGATTTAGGTTGATTACGGTAAATTTACGTATATGTTGATTACGGTAAGTTTACCGGTTTAGGTTGATTACGGTAAGTTTACGTTTCGGTTGACTACGGTAAGTTTACCGGTATAGGTTGATTACGATAAGTTTACTTTTAGGTTGATTACGAGAGGTTAACATTTAGGTTGACTAGGGTAAGTTTACCGGTCTAGGTTCACTACGGTAAGTTAATTGGTTAATGTTGATTACGGTAAGTTTACGTTTAGGTTGACTACGGTAAGTTTACATTTAGGTTGATTATGGTAAGTTTACCGGTTTAGGTTGACTACAGTAAGTTTACCGGTTTAGGTTGATTACAGTAAGTTTACCGGTTTAGGTTGACTACGGTAAGTTTACGTTTAGGTTGATTATGGTTAGTTTACGTTTAGGTTGACTACGGT